ACACACACACACACAGGTGGATAATCCAATAAAGATTCTGACCATTTCATTTTTCTCTCTGAGATGTTGTATTTCTCACATTGACAGCTGCTGTTTGTGTACCTGATGGTTTGTGCAACATTGTCCCTGAGCAAGTTTCACATTGTCAAATGAAGCTGATTCAGGTCAGTGGCATACTGCCAGGCCTGTTGCGATCATCTGTGGTTTTGGTGGGCTGCAGTTCACAATTTCTCTTTCTGTTGTAGAGAAGTAGTCTACTTGGGTTGGCAGTTTTCCGATTTCAGTCAGAAAGTGCAAAATGTCAATGTGAGTGAACTAGTGAAGCATACTATTGTGAACATGAAAAGAGCAGTAAATTGTGCCGTGCTGTTGTCTGAATCCCATGAGAACATAGTTGATTTGGTGCAGCACAAAAAAACTCAGAAGCTTCTTTCTTAGCTTTGTAGCTAAGAAAATTGAGATTCCGCATTGAAACCTGTTTTAACATTTACTCAGGTTTTCAGCATTGCTTCTCCATGAGCAGATTAGAAACTGTTCTACACCACTATGGATTCCTTGTTTTCAGAAAGACCCCCAGCAGCCCCCAGCTCTGCTGTTTGTCTGTTTCAGGATGTGAGGCTGACTGAGGGCTGATGTCATCTTTCTCCACTGCTGCAGAGGTGAGCCTTAGGACAGAAATCAGGAAGGAAGGAAGAAAGAGAGAAGGGAGGGCAGTGAGAGTCACAGCCGGAGCAGGACAGGCAGATTTAGAGAGGGGTGGTGAAAGGTAGACAGACAAGAAGCATGCGATGCAGATTTATGGCGCAGAGTCTGCGTCTGAGACTTGGTGCTCTTCTTGTAGTAGTAGTAGTAGTGGGTGGTGGGTGACTGGGCTGCATGTCCTGGGCTGCATGTCCTAGCCTGCAGTTGCGGAGCAGGAGTTGCATAATGGCTCCCATCCGTTCTACACTTTTCCACTCTGGAATGAGCTCACTCTGTTTAAGAGCGCTTGTGTGTGCACATACACACATGCAGACACAAAGTCCAGGATATGGTTGTAGTAGAACAATCTTGGTTGTACAGCCGCACGCTACAGCTTTGTGTGTGTCTCTGGGTGGGAATAGGAAAGAGCAGTGACCTTAGAGGCTGGGTACAGAGGTTTCCTCTAACATGAACTCTGAGGGGGTCAGACACAGGGCAATGCCAGAGCAAGAAAACAAGGGCAGGGTCCCCAGTCCAGTACTGCTACACCCAGGGAGGGAGGGAGAGAAGGGAGGGGTTGTCTTTGGATGGTATGGGGGGAAACAGCAGTTAAAATCTATTGGAAGAAAGAACGGATGCAGCCTAGTATGGAGAATGCAGAGTAAAGAGAATGCGGAAGGGGGGATCATTTTTACTAGTCCCTGAAATGTGGTGTGGAGCCTCGTCTGGATTTTGTCTTGGCTCCACAAGCCCAAGCAGTGTGTATTATTTTGCTCATGCAGTCCCAGGCAGTTAGACAAAGAGGCAGGCTGGTGAATATGTGCCTTGCTGGGACAGTAGCAACTAGCACTAATCTCCCTTACAGACTGTGGTGCAACATGCCTGAACATGTAAGTGTACTGAAAACGGTTTGAGTGTACGTGTGTTGCCGCTGTTAGCAGAGTGGTATCATTCTAGCGGGCAGGCTGGCTGAACGCAGGATGACCCATCTCCCCTGAGGCTCCAAATCACTACATCATCATCAGTCGCTCCTCGCAGTGGAACAGATGAGATTTCACTGCCATCAAGCACTAAGCAGGAACCAAGGCTGCTTTACTAACTTGATAGTGTACCCTCATAAATCTGTAGGAATCTACAATCTACTCTCCCCTTAGAAGTCACTTCATTTATATCATCAGTAGCTTTGAGAGTTTTCAAGGTTTGCTTGAATTTGGCATAATTTTTGAGTGCACTGTGAGTGAGAAAGGACAGCTTTCCAATACACACTTATCCTTTTATTTGATTGTACCACACATGAGTGTATAAAAGCACACTCTCAGTTCATTCACTCTGATGATGCTGCACTGCTTGTATGTGTATGTGTGTGTGTATGTGTGTGTGTGTGTATATACATGTATATATTATGTGTGTGCTTTCAGGTGCTGATATGCGCTGAAGATGAGTGGCGTAGGAGACAACTTGTTGGAGCCGCTGTGCTCCGACCGCAAACGTAAACTGTCCACCTGCGACACGCCAGGTTTAGGGTGAGTGCTGTAACTCCTGTTAAGTGTCGATCACATACCAATCCTGATGTTTTTGGCGGGAATGTCAGCAAGAGCATGAGGTCACTTCCTTTCCCCTGGCCTAACGTAAACATCCGTACCCCCGGTCCAAACGTGTGTCTGCTGCTAGCAAAATATCTGAAGCATCGGACGGGTGCATGGGGAGGTGAGGTTGTCATGGAAACGTGTCTAATCCCTTTGGCGCCCCGGCAGGTGTGACAAGCGTCGGAGGGAACAGGAGAGCAAGTACATCGAAGAGCTGGCTGAGCTCATCTCTGCCAACCTCTCCAACATCGACAGCTTCAACGTCAAGCCTGACAAATGTGCCATCCTCAAGGAGACCGTGAGACAGATCAGACAAATCAAAGAGCAAGGTACCGCCACATGTGCAAATTACACACATACACTCCTGGTCGAAAACAAGGTCACATATGAAACATAATTAGTCTTTTTCTGTATTTGTTTTGGGGGCTAGACAGTGAATAAAGTTCAGTTGAATCTTGTCAAGTACCCTGCTTCAGGACAGACACTGCCAGTGATGAAGTGGTGTGTTTGGTTCATGGCCAGGCTGCTTCAGACCGACAGCCACTTTGGCTGTTTGTATTGCTGGGGGTAAATGAACACCAGTAATTGAGACCAATGCTTTGCTGGTCATGACTCAAGGCTGTCAGTGACAGTGTGATTCTGTTAGTGCCAAACGCTGCTTCTCTCTGGGAGACTGGTGGGAGACACTGGTGATCCAGAAATCAGACCTTTTACAGAAAGTTTCTCCTATCCCTAGGTCTTTTTCCAATCATTTTACAGATTTTACATGATTGGATACACAAAGGAGGATATTTTCTTCCACCTGTTTTAGCTTGGTTGAGATTAGATCTGTTAGGGTAAGTGGGTAAGAAAGAGAGAGAGCAATCACATTGGAATCTACCCAGAGGGTCACAGCTGGCTACTGCTGGCCTGGGTGTTATGCAGTCAGGTTGCCATAGTTACAGGATGGGAATGATGGAGGGCCCCCTCTTTTTTCCTCCTCTTTTCTGTCTGTTGTCCATGTAACACACCTTTCCCTCCCCTTGTTTACACATCTTTGGGTCAGTTTCTCAGGTATCTCCTTTTTTGTTTATACCTATCATTGCTCTGTTTGCTTGAGCAGCTATTTTGAGTCAGAATGGAGTTGTGTCATATTATTTGTCATCTTGCTTAGCGCCACAGATGACCCTTCTATATAGAGTGGTATCTAACAAAGCCTCAGACACATGCTGATTTTAAAAATAGAAAGGCATGCTAACCATGCATATATGGCTCATGCCGCCACCTGCTGGCCAGAAAAAAATATTTTATGTCATTGTGTTAGGAAAGCAGCTCCCACAGCCAACTCGAAATCATAGAATGGTTAAATTAAAATTGAGACAAACCGTATGATCATGATGGAAATTATGTGTGATGTGTAAAGTACCAAATAAAGAATCCAAAGGCATAGATAGCTGTAAAGTGACAATTCTCTTCATCTGTAGTGTGATGTGCTTCATATGTCCTTAGGAAAGAGCTCTTGCAGCGATGATGATGTCCAGAAGGCGGATGTGTCCTCTACTGGTCAAGGGGTCATTGACAAGGACCATCTGGGACCGCTGCTCCTACAGGTCAGCTTGGGGACAATCACTTAGGGGGCAATAGACAAACATCAATTATTGCTGTTCCATATGCTGGACCAGTGCTTTGCTGTCATTGCTCACTTGAAGTTTATAGAAATGTCTTAGCTGCTTTCTAGAGGGGCAATAGTAACCAAATAATTAACCATTTTTCTGTCCATGCTGTTCTCAGGCCTTGGATGGCTTTCTCTTTGTGGTTAACCGAGAGGGCAGCATTGTATTTGTGTCAGACAATGTGACACAGTACCTGCAGTACAAGCAGGAGGAGCTGATCAACACGAGTGTGTACAACATCATCCACGATGAGGACAGGGAGGAGTTTCACAAGAATCTACCCAAGGCCCATGGTGAGACATGGGTTTATTTTTGTGTGTGTGTGTGTGTACAAGATAATGCATACCTAAATATACAAACATGGTCACTCACTCACACACACAAGCATAAATGATTGAACGCATGAACATCTGAATGCTCTCTCACACACACTCATTTGTTGGCTATTTCTCTCTGTAGCACCAAACGGGGCATCGTGGGGTGGAGAAGCACCCAGACAGAAGAGCCACACCTTCAACTGTCGTATGCTGGTGAACTTTGTTCATGGTCAGAGTCATGGGTTGCCAGAAGAGAGGCCCGGGGGCCAGCGCTATGAGACAATGCAATGTTTTGCACTCACTCAGCCCCGGGCCATGATGGAGGAGGGTGAAGGTAAAAATCAAAAAGCTTTGAATATTTTTTGTGACAACATTGACATTATTTTTTTTTAATGCAGAGGATATGATTTAACCAGCAGATTCAAAGTAGAACTCATATACATAACCCAGTGACTTATTTGGCTTACACCTAGTGTGTAACTATGCCTTCTGTTGTATTTCTTTGTCAATTTGTACTTGAATGTTGAAAATAATACACACAAGTGAGGTTTGGAATATCTGATTTCTGCTCCAGTGCAGCCAAATGAGAACTTAACATTGTGCTGTTTTTAACCCAGATTTGCAGTCATGTATGATCTGTGTGGCACGACGCATCATTGCAGTAGAGAGGACGGAGAGATTTAGCACTCGCCACGAACTGTCTGGTAAGTTTCCACTGTTTTATATCTAATGGGTGCAAGTACTTTGACCAGGTGAATTAATTTTGTGTGCATGTGACGTGACCATGGGAAATATTTGTGTTTGGCACGCCAGCTTACAAAGGTTTTCATCAAACTAGTTTAAGTTATAAATTCTGTGTTGGGTGGCACTTGGTGTGTCCCTTTTTTAATTCCTTACTTATACCCTCATTACTTGTACTGACAATGTGACCTTTCAAGCCATGTCATTCCAGATAATTAGGGATGTTCACCATAGATTGTTGATACACTGTATTAGAAATCTAAATGTTTTTGTTTATTTTACCATCACTAGCCATTATTGCTTGTGTAATCTCAACGGTGCATTTTCTGTTGCAGGTAAACTGATTGAAATTGAACAGCAAAGCTCTCTTCACACCACTATGCGTCCAGGCTGGGAGGACCTGGTTAGGCGCTGCATGCAGATGTTCCTCAATCGAAGTGAGGGACAACCGTGGTCCTACAAACGCCACTATCAAGATGGTATGTAGTTCTGCCGCTCCTTACTATCTAACCTCTCTTTTAGTTTTAGTTTTGCATGTGAATGGATTACCTCGAATTACAGCATGGTCACAGACATTGACAAAGGCATGATCCATTATTATAGGTGGTAGGGCAGGTTTGAGCTTTGACAAGAGCGGCAATCACAAAAGTATACAAGGAATGTAGCAGAACGCAAGTCATCTCATTCAATTTCAATTTAGTATGTGGGACGCAGCCCTTGCTAAATGAATAAGAGGCTCAAACCATTAATGAATAATCTCTAGTACAACAGGAGACATAACCGGATTTGTAAGACACAATGAATAACACGATTGACAATATGGAGTGTACCTACGATCTCCACAGTAAACAGTAAATTCTAACTGCGCCCGGCCTAAGATATGAATGTTCCTGCTTGGGAGCATGCAGTTTTTAAAATGTATATATTCAGTGCTGTTGTTCTCCTCCTGTATAAAGTAAGAGTCTCTGTGATTTGGAGTTTGGTTCCACTCTTTCTTGTTCTTACCCATCTGACAGACCGCCGACAGTGAACACTAGAAGGCTTGGGGAAATTCATCTTTAGTCAATCTATGTTTGCAGAGTATTAATTCTGCTTTTTTTCTGCTCCAGCTTTCCATAATGGCCATGCGGAGACCCCACTCTACCGCTTCTCACTCTCTGATGGCACCCCAGTCACAGCCCAGACCAGGAGCGACCTCTGCAGGAATCCCAACACCAATGAGCCGCACTCTTTCCTCTCCACACACTTGCTACAAAGGTGCAGAATGACGGAGGAATGATTTCCTCTAAATTGAATGATTGTCTCACTGTGTTGTATTTGAGTTGTCCTGTTTTAATTTCTTGTTATTGACCGTATTCCGTTGTAGGGAGCAGAATGGTTATCGTGGAAACCAGGGTGGAGGGATGAGGCCTCAAAACATGGTTGTGAACAATCCCAACCAACAGATGAACATGGGTCCAGGAGGGGGCATGGGCATGAACAGGGGCTACGGCATGGCTGAACAGGGCAATATGCCACAAAGAGGAGTGCCTCCGTACACTGGGGGCAACCGCATGAATCCCATGAACCAGATGAATCAAATGAATCCTATGAATCAGATGAGTCCCATGCATCAGATGAATCAAATGAATTCCATGCATCAGATGAACAACATGGGTCCAATGAATCAGATGAATTCTATGCATCCAATGAACTCTCCCATGAACTCTCCCATGAACTCGATGAACCAAATAGGGCCCATGAATCAGATGGGCCACCATGGCATGCATCAGCAGCAACATCAACATCAGCAGATGGGTCAGTTCCATGGAGGTGGAGGCGGACCTGGAGGTGGAGGGTACGGGATGGGAATGACCAGTCCCCCCCAGGCCAGTCCGGGGATTAACGGCCCCCCACACAACGTCATGGGTTCACCTAGAGTCCGAGGAAGCCCCAAGATGGGTGCCAGCCCCTTCTCCCCCGGAGGTATGAACCAAACTTTTCTAGAACTCTCAAGAACTATCAGCAACTTGTAATATACAGGTTAATTGGATATAGAATCACTGCTTCCTAAATCAGTAATTTTCTAACACGTTTTTTACTACTTGGATTGTTCTTCTGCAGGTATGAACTCTCCCATGAGCTCTAGTCACCCTGGCGGAGGAGGCACCACCTTCTCCAGCAGCTCCTTGAATGCCCTCCAAGCCATTAGTGAGGGAGTGGGTAATCCGATGCCCTCCCCCCTCACCTCTCCTCCCCCCCACAAGCCTGACAGCTCCCCAAGCATCAACTCCACCAACCAGCCAGCAGGGGGACCCTGTAAACCTGGCCTCCCAGCCTATTCGGACTCCAAGAGCCCCGGGAGCTCACTGGGGGCTGGAGGAGAGCAGCACCCCCACACCCCCACCAGCGAGGGCCCCCCTGACAAGCCAGACAGCCAAGCCAGTAGAGAGGTGGGTCCGGCTGGGGGAGAATCGAACCGACGGGTTCCTGACAGCCATAAGAAGCTTCTGCAGCTCCTCACCTCCCCTGCAGATGAGCTGGTGCCACCTAATCATACACCAAATTCCGGGCCCAGCTCCACGCCTGGGGCTAAAGACGGAACAGCCGGCGTCACCAGCCCCTCATCCTCAACAGGAGTGTCCTCCTCTACGGGTGGGAATCATGGCGCTGTGTCCTCCTCGGGTGCTACAGGACATTTAACAAGTCAGTCACTTCAGGAGAAGCACAAGATCCTCCACAAGCTGTTGCAGAATGGGAACACTCCAGACGAGGTGGCTCGCATCACAGCCGAGGCCACAGGAAAAAGCAGCCTGGATTCAGGGGCACCAGAGCCTGGGCCTGCAGCCACTGGAGCGGCTAGGGGATCAGAATCAAAGCAGGAGCAGCACAGCCCAAAGAAGGAGAAGCCCCACGCCCTCCTTCACTACCTGCTCAATAAGGACGACTCTAAAGAAGGTGGTGATATCAAGCCGAAGGTGGAGGACCTGGAAGGAAGAGGAGCTCAGGCTGCAGGGGTCACCAGCTCTGACCCTCACTGCATGGATGGGAAAGTCAAGTTGGAACCATCTGATGAGGTAAGAATTTTGCCCAAAATACCATTGTTACTGTTAGATGTATTTTAAAATGGCCAGTAAAACACTGTCCTAATCATTCTTTTTTCTCGATGGTTCAGACGGAGACCTTGGAGACCATTCTGGGTGTGAACAACGCTGGCTTCTACTCTGAAGCAGACTCCAGAGCAGGGAAGGAAGTGGGAAACAAACAGGGAAATTTGCCTGACAGTTTACATGGTATGTCAGTCAGTCTACTTGAGAGTATCATGTGATCAAATGTGACACTGGACAGCAAAACGGTTCATACTTAATGTGCAAAAATAGTGTGTGACAAGACACTACAATAGCAGCCTTGGCATATGGCATATCATATACATATGTCATACATGAGGTATTACATACTTCAGACTGTCTTAATCTTAGAATTTCACTGTGTGAAAGTGAGTCATCTAACTTTGGTATTATGTGTGCTTCAGATGGGGAGAGAGGCCCCATGCCTCCTGCTCAACGTACCTATCAAAGAGCCTTGTCCATGGATGCCAAGCCCATGGTTGGAGGTGGAGCAGTAGGAGGCGGGCTAGCTGGGAGAAGGAATCTGCCGTGTCCCACTTTGGTTAAACAGGAGACCATGGATTCTCCGATCCGATCCGGGCCCGTTCCCAATGGCTTTTCAGGAGGCATGGGTGTGTGTCCACCTCGGGGGAATCCAACAAGTAACTGAAACACTTACTTCTTTGCATGCCCAAGACAGCCTGGCTTTCTGTGAAGACCTGGGTCTCACATTTGTAGCTAAACCCACCATCTTTGAAATTATAGAAGCTTGGTTCCCATTATTCACTATGTTGCTGAGCTAGATGATGAAACAATGTTCATGGTCTTTGTGTTGTTTAGGAGGTATGGGCAGAGGAATGGGAATGCCCCAGCGCCCTCCCATTTCAGGGCCAGGGGACTGGGGGATGCCGAGGTCCAGCGGCAGCCCTGTGGCCGGCCCAGGACACCCTGGCATGGGTCGCTCTGGTCCAATGGCAGGACCCATGATCAACCGCTCCAACAGTGTACCTGCAAACGCAAGGTCTATGTTGCAGCAGCAACTCATGGATATGGGTATGTCACATGTCTGAAATATCTGAACGGGAATAATTTTCTGCAAAATTGAATTGCATTGAAAAATGATAGTTTGACCACTTGTTTCCACTTTGTATTAACCATACACTACTACCTATTATCAACTGTGCAGGTACCAGTGAAGCCAATATGGGGATGAGCCGGTTTGGTGGACATGGGCCCCCACCTCAGTCTCCCTCCTGGCCAGACTCTGCTATGGTAATGGACAGACCACAGAGGAACACAAACAGGTAAATCTTTCAAACTGTTCTCAACCCTATCCTTCTGAATTTTGGCCAGCTAAGTTGACCTCAAACTGAATTCAGAAGCTAACATTGATAATGTCTGCGTTTGCAGTCTCTTTTCTTAAAGTGACTCAACATCTCCTGTGTCTTTTGTTGTGTTAGGGACCAGTTTGGGCATCCACTGGAAGAGCTTCTGGGCCCCCTGGCCAGCGGCGAGGGCCCACCTGATGAACGGGCACTTCTTGACCAGCTGGACTCTCTGCTCAATACAGCTGATGTCATTGCACTGCAGGAGATAGACCGAGCCCTAGGCATCCCTGAAATAGTAGGCCAGGTACAAGACACACTACACATGATGTATTGCCTGCTCTTTTTTTTTTAATCACAGGAAATGGTAATGATAGTGTGTCATGAGCCCAAATGAACTTCAGTTCTTCTAAAAATAAGAAAGTTATGAAGTGATTATTGAATAAAGTGAAAAATGTGTAATGTAAAATATACTGTGAGATATTATGGTATAAAGTCAACAGCTTGTTGCCCCCTCAATTTAGGTTTAAACATTGAGTCAAAGAGCTTCAGGCAAAGCAAAACATGTTCAGAGGCTCAGTGGTCCAAAATCAGTGTATGAATTTATATTATCCTCTCTACTGTACTCATCAGATTCCTGCATGATGTGATTTGAATGTGCGTTCTCAGGCCTCAACTTGAATGTCAGCTTGAAGTAAATGTTTTTAAGCTTGCAATGTTTTTCTAGCTGCATGCTGTGCGTAAGCCTTCTTTATATGTGTGGGTCTCATGAAGCTGTTATATGTGATGTATATGTGTTTTATGTCTCTGCTATAGCAGTAGTTTAAATATCCAGTGTTGTGTTGATATTAGGGATGCCCCGATCCAATCTCAACGATCAGTATTAGCATTGTTGAGCTTTATTGATTCGATCCGATTTTTTGTTTACTTCAGCTGTTACACAGCTGTTTTTACTTTTGCTTTCATGCTTGGTGCAGCCATTGTCAGCTCTCTCACGGTTTCTTTCCTCCACTCTGGGCTCTGCATGTGAGAGAGCACGAGCAGCCCCGCTGCAGAGGAGAAGAGTGGTAGAGAGCCAACACAACCATACTCCACTCCGCCACTGCAAGTCCAACAAAAGTCCTATGAACAAAAAGCCAATAGGAGTCCTTGGTGAATATAATGTAAAAGAAGTAGAAATAAACCGCAGAATACAAACAGTTCATTCAGGTAACTCAGGCAATGGCTGCACTAAAGCTCCAAACGTTAAGGAATAGCTTTGATATAACTCTAATGTACTTGAAGTGTGCACTGGGCACTGTATTATCTACCAAAAAAAGTATAAGATCAGGACTCTGTATCGGCAGATATTCAATCTTAAATAACTCAGATTGGATCGGGGGCTACAAAAACTGATCCGGACCTCCCTAGTTAATATTGCAGTAAAGTTTACTTTGCCAAAACTAGCGTGACATGCAACTCCTCTGTACCCCAGACTCAGGGACCTGAGGGCCACCAGCAGGGCCAGGATCAAGGCCAGGGACAGTGCCCGCCATCAGAGCCTTTCCCAGGGCCGGACTCCTCCTTAGGCATGGACCAAAAACCCATGTATAACCAAGGCTACCCTGGGCCCCCAGGGCCCCCCTCCGTGGGCATGCAGCCCGGTTATGGTGGCAACACAATGCAAGGCCAGTCTCCGGGAGGCTTCAACCCCATGATGAATCAAATGGGCCAGGCAGGGGGCTTCCCTGGCATGGCGGGCATGGGCAACCCCCGTGCAAACATGATGCGACCTCGCATGATTACTGCCACCAAGCCTCTCCGACTGCAGCTGCAGCAGAGACTGCAAGGACAGCAGGTGATCACACAGACGCACACTTACTATTCAACCTAAAGATGACCTCTGTCTCAGGAGAAGTTGGTAGCTTCTAGGTTGCTACATTAATAGTGAACATGGCATATTGAACTTGTTGTCTCATCTGGCAGTTTATGAACCAGACCCGACAAGGCATGAAGATGGAACATGCCCCCGGAGGAAACCCTGCCATGCATCCAGGCATGCAGCCTGGCATGCAGCCTGGTATGCAGCCTGGTATACAGCCTGCAGGCATGAGTGGTCAGGTATGTAGTCAGCACTTCCTCACATCTAATTAAGTGTGCGTTCACTTTTAATAACACCAGTCAAGTCACCATTTGTAGAATTAAGGTCAAAGTATTGATGTTTGTCTGCAGCCGGGTTTCTTGAACGCCCAGATGATGGCTCAGCGCAGCAGAGAGATGATGACCATCTCCCAGATGAGGAGGCAGAGGATGATGATGCTGATGCAGCAGCAGCAACAGCAACAGCAGCAGCAGCAGGGGCAGGGGGCAGCAGCAGGCTTCAGCCCTCCTCCAAATGTCACCGCACCAGGGGGCATGGACAGCCCCATGGGAGCTCCCCCAATAAACCAGGCTGGACAGCAGGGCTTCAACTATGGGGGTAATTATGGTGGGTTGACTAGATAGAGTTCTGTATCCTTTCCTCCTGGATCTCCTAAGTTTCACACTCGTGACTTCTTCTTGTCATTGTACTTGCAGGGATGAACCAGCAGGGGGATCCATCATTCATGGCTCCAGGTAGCAGCCCACCAACAAACATGATGCCTGGACGAATGGGAGGTCCTCCTCAGAACACCATGATGCCAGGGATGCAGGGCAATCCGCAAGCAGGGCCCATGTACCCATCTGGAGAGATGAAAGGCTGGCCACAGGGCAGCATGCCACGCAACAAGTATGTAGCATCAAGCTTTCTTGAGAAAAGTTATTTAGTCGTTTATTATTCAAGTGTAGGTTTGTTAGTTAATTGTCACCATAATGAGCACCATACACAAAGAGGTTTATCCTAGTGTGATTTTTAAATAAACAGACGTAAAGGACCTGCGTCAAAACTTCTTTTATTTCTGTTTTTCCAGCTCATACCCCCAGCAACAGTTCCCTCAGCAGGCCAACCAGGGCCAGTTTGGACCCATGATGATGAACACCTCCATGGGTGGACCTGGGCCAGTCAGCGGGGCCAGTGCGGGACAGATGGGACAGATGGGACAAATGCCAGGACAGAGACACGGCCAGATGCAGGGCCAAATGGGCATGAACCCCATGGGAATGGGCAGAATGCCAATGGGACCTGATCAGGTAGGACACAGCAGTCTGAAGCATATTGTTTCTGTTGTGGATTTATTGTAAAGCACTTTGTAACTTTGTTTTTGAAATATGCTGTATAAGTAAAGTTAGTATTATTGTTATTATTGAGTGGTCTTACATGAGGCTGACATGTAAAGGAAAAGCACTGTGTTTCTGTCTCTGCAGAAGTATTGCTGAAGACCTGTGCCTGACAGTAGAATCTGGAGCCTTTCAGCTGTGGCCGAACAGTCTGAGCCCCGAGAAAAGATGGACCTACACACACACACAAACACACACACACACACACACAGTTGGAGTTCTCCAGCCTAAAACATGACGCACGCAGGAAACTCAGCACAACACACTGCTCATCCTAGAGGAAGTGGGCTCCAACTGAAGCCTCACATACTGTAACTCTGTATGGTGACACACAAACACGAAATATCACTGTGTGTGTGCGTGTGTGCATGTTTGTGTGTGTTCATGGAGCTGTCGGGCAGTATTCAGCGTCACGGCCAGGCTGCAGAACAGGACTATGGTACAACTGGCTGTGGCGGCACTTTACTGGAGGCTTCTGTGTGGAATAAAGATTGATGCAATATTTCTTCATCATTACAGCCTTACTAGAGATTCAATGCCTTCACAACGATGGGTTTCTGTTTTCTTTCTTATCCTTTGGATGCGCCTCATTCTTGAAGTCATTGGAAGCTATAAGCACACAATTTATTTACTATGTTATGCAGATTGGAGCAATAACTCTTGCCTCTATGCTTTAGACTGTAACTGAGCATCATAACCCCTGTTATAAGCAAACAAATGGTACTGCAGTATTAGATGTCTCAAATGTCCTCTGTGAATATGAATTGTAAATATTCTACAAAATATATCAAACATGCTTTTTAAAGGCCCATTATTGCACAAAGTATGAGACCTGGTTGTATTTTTGTGTCCCATAGGTCAATACTGATTTGGATGATTTGCTTTTTTTTATGCCTTTGCAAATATCGCAGGCGTGTTTGGGTTTCCTTCCTTTTGTTTGTCATTTTCTGAATGCTGTATTTTTTAATTTTCCAAAAAGTCATGTATTTCATGTTTTAGCGAGGCACTTTTACTTGTGACGAGTAGCTGACAAGTTGATGGTTCAAGCTTTCACGCTGTCAGAGGTATTATTGGAATGTGGCAGATTTCTTCTGTCGATTACATAAAATGATATTATTTTGTCGGGTTCAGTGTGAGGTGAGCTGTATGGGTTTTGTCTGCGCTACAGTGAAGACGGGAACACACACTCCTCAGTTTACCAACAAGCCTGGTCCCTGAAGTGTTCTCCCCCCCTTCTACCAGCTCTATCTCTCAAGTGTATTTTTATTCACACCATCTTCTTTTGACTGTTATTCTCAGCTCGCTGAATCTACCTTTTCAACATGCGCAATCCAAAGATATTTTTCCACATCTCTGTATAGTTTCTGAGGTTTCTGGTGTACATTTTTTTTATGACGTGTTATATTAGTCTGATGGTAAAGGGTACATATCATGGATCTGTAAAAGCATATGATGGTTATAAACTGTACGCATAAAGGGCATGGGGCTCGGTTGTTCCGCAGTGGGAAGCTATCAGTGCAGTGCGAAGAGGACTGGAAACTCTCAACCCTACAGCAGAAGGTTTTTACATCCAGAAAATAGACGAAGCATGTTTTGCTGTGAGAGAAATACCAATGGAATTGAATCCACTTTAAGACATATCAATATCTCTTCTATTTTTCAGGAAACGGCTTCATTTTCTGTCCAGATTTTGTTACTTCAGGAACAAGGAACTTTGTAGAGTTTGAATGAAGTGCAAAAAGAGGCAAGAGATCATTTGGTTTGTTTTTGATGTTTTTTTGTTTTGGTGGTAAGATAAACTGTCATTTTACAGGATGTATATTACAGATTTTTTCTGTTGATGTTGATATTAATGTAAATACAAATTTCTATTTAAACACTCTTGACTCTGGTTCTCTGATTATCTTCTTAATCTGATTATGATCCATGCAATTTACTCAGTCTGACTTCAGTAAACAGTAAACAGCAACCAGTATATTGCAATGACAACATAATCACTGATCAAACATAACTAATGAAGGCGGCTGTTATTGGAAGAAACTAATGAAGGATTGATCCACTTATAATATTCTTCTGTCAGAGGAAAAGCTGCTTTGCTTTGATTTTCAATATTAAATCCTGCTTAGTATTGTAATGTAAAAACGTCAGTCTATTAAGCCCATTCAGTGTGAACTTCACTTCCCTTCAGTAACTAGTGATAGGAGACTAGTAAATACTTGAGGAGATGTGATACAATGAGGCATATAGTGGATTAAAAAGTAGGAAGACCACGTTGTAAAAATACTTCATTAAAAGTGAAAAAAATCTTGTATTGAAAAGTCTAACTAAGTAAAAGTATTATTATCAAATATACTTCAAATATGCAGAGTTAAAGTACTGGATCTGCAGAACAATGGCCCCTGTGACTGATGTATTAACTGGTTGCTGGTTGAAGTGGAGCTAGTTTTAAATACTTTGTATACAGTTTGATATTTTAATCCAGTGATTCTTGACCTGGGAGTCAGGCTCCCCCTGAGGCTCACAAGATAAATCTGGCTGGTACGTTTCTCTCATCTTTGCTTTTTTAATGAAATGTTGCATACTTCATACTACATCTCTTTGTCTCAAACAGTTATTTAAGGGAAACCATTTGACAAGCTCTCTTTCAGGTGGAACTGCTAACACCAGTGTGTGGGGTTGTAAGTCAAAAAAAGAAACCACAGCTTTAATCTTTAACAATACATTGTATTTTAAACATTTTACTTTAACATAAAATCCTAATGAACAAGAAAGTCTAGCACTCATATAAATGTTATATTATAATGTGCCTCAAAACTGCACTAGCATCATGCAAATGCAGCACTTGAGTAAATGTACTTAGTTACTTTCCACCACTGCTGAGGCAGATTTAAAGATACATTTATGAATAAAAGTGCAGTTCTCTTCTGTATTAACAGATCATTAATACAGATTAGTGACAGCAGCATTTAGAGATGATGATCGTATGCTTTGAATGTAAAGTCAGGTAATCCAGCTGTCACATAAACATAATGGAGTAGAAAGTACAGAGATACTCAAGTAAAAATACCCCTAAACTGTACTTAAGTGCACAATTTGAGTAACTATTTAGAATCTTAAATGATAAACAAATATTATATGTGAGCAGGAAAATACATGACAGCAACACCAGCACCCTAATGAACACATTTTGTTCATGTCACTTTAACCAGAAGGCGGCGCTGTTGTCTACTTATGCCTCCTCCAGCCCATCAATTGCCCCACACTGCAGCTAAAGCAAGCTTTTTACCCTGCGAAACCCTTCACGCTCGCAAGAGGGCGCTAAAGTACAAGCGTGGTGCAGGAAGGGGCATGAGGTTTTATTCATGTTTATAGACTGAGGGATTAAAATAAAAACAATAATTAAGAATGGAGCAGATATAAAACCCAACACACGGGCCTAATTGGATTTAATGGTAATAAAATATTCATTATGGAGACCACAATAGCCTGGTCTTCATTTTCTCCACAGCTCAACCAGATTACGTAAGAGGGATTAGTATCTGCCATATAGATAATTATGAGTGATTAGAAATTCAGAGAGGAAACACTATAAATGATTTCCCAGTATAAAGAAACACATTAAAGAATTGTATATGTGAAACAATTCCGCTCAACTACTTGTGGACACTTCTCTAACAACTCAAGCAGTGTATGTTTCAGAAGAAGGGGGGGAAAAAAAGAAAAACTGTATATATTAATAGCAAATTTATAACATACGACTGTACTGTGGGAATCTCTCTCTCCCTCTCTCTCCGAGTGTTGGCGTGGTTCCCGGCCCATCTGCGGCCTGGCCCGTGGATTACTGTTTGTTAATGTTTCAATCAGCTGTGTGTTGAGGAATGTGGAGCTATTTAACCTGAACTTCCCCAGGTGTGCCGAGGCGCCGCTCAGTCTGGGCCCCGCCGCCCTCCCCTGCCCTTGGCACAAAGCTATCACACAAACACAATCACACACTGGCCACGCCGGGGCTGCAGCTGTGCGCATCGCACCGCAGGGAAATGGGAAAAACATTGCACCAGGGAGACAGAATAAATCTTATAACGAATCGGCTCGCCAAAGCCAGTTTAACCCCTGCAGTGCCGGCAAGGACGCGCACTGCTGATTTACACGATAACATATTGGAACACCATATTTAAATGGACTTTTTATGGCGTAAAACAAACTTTTTTTCCCCTTACTTACTTCTCTCCTAATAAACAATCTTACATAGCTTTATTTTTGTCTGTAATTTGTTTAAAACGCCTTTAAGCCTCTTGAAAAAAACAAACACACATTTGTCCTTACTGCAATGATTTTATTTAATTTTTCACCTGATTTCAAACCCTCTGCCTCCATTTGTCAATATGTTGAGTCGATTCAAAGTGAGACTTCCTCTTGTAATGTGATACGGTAATGACCCATAGAGAGGCAAATTACCAATTTAACTGGCTCTGAGCCATTATGTTGACCACCAGCTTTGGTTTTATGTTACCTGAATGACTTAACAGCTTCTTCTAGATGTAGCACTATTTAGTGACAACCACTTTACACTCTCCCAGTACTAGTCAGGAACAAGGTGAACTATTCAGATGAATATGAGTAGGCCTACTATTAATCACAATGACAACAAGGCTTTAACAGCCCATAGTAACTACCAAAGTATCGTGTTCCACAACTGTAGCTCTAGTTTCTATAAAGAAGAACACTGAAACTTCCCAGGTGCATGATACAGCACCTTATATCTCTCTCTCACACACACACACACACACACACACTATGACACAGAGTAATTCTTGTTCAAAAATAATTGTCTTGTTTTAATAAAAACACAAATAAGGTACATTGTAAGAAAACAATATCTTCACATAATGTGGCATTGTAATATACAATACAGTTTGTCGCTCAGTAATCTGAGAAATGTATTTTTTTTCTTTTACAAAATGTTGAATTCTCTATATGGTTTACACAAGATACAAAGAGCGTAACAGAAACATCAAGCTTTCTTTAGAAACTCTACAAGCAACAAGCGACGCTAGTTGCACTGAACTCGTCTTGGTCCCCGGCTAACCCAGTCTAGATCTGGACACCACCGGTCTTCTTCTCTCAGGGCCCTCTGATGAATCGAGAGCCCTGAGTGACAGAGATCCTCGCCGGCGGAGGATGTCCGCACAACGTTATTTTTCTAGTATTGGGAGTTTGAAACGTCCCTACACAGTTCAAGGTTTTTTATTGATGTGTTCGAGATGTCACATCAGGTAGCCTTGTTCGTTCTTCGCGGTGATCGCTGTGGGGTGATGGCGCGATGCTCCACGAGCTCTTAACGGCACATAATCCTGTCATCCGAGCATCCGTTCTGCGGGGAGAGAGAAATGAAAGTTTCATTAGTACATCTGCGTTACAACAGCAGTCACAAGAGAAACGCAGCGGAAAAAATGACTTTTACGCACGGGGTTGGCAACTTTACGCACGCACATTAGCGTTCAAATACGTAAGCTACAGTGGTGCATTCAGCTTTATATGACACTGAGACATTCTCGGGTTTATTATTAACACATGTGAAGAGATATTTACCTCAACTGCGATACTGGCGAGCTCTGCGTTCAGGGTGGTCAGCGGCGTGCGGGGGACGCTGCCGGCGGACAACTGGCGGCTCTTCTCGGGCTCGTCCAGCTCGACCTGCAGGTCCCAGATGTAGTCGATAACGTGCTGCAGGATCTCCACTTTGCTGGCCTTCTTGTTGGTGGGCAGCGTGGGCACGAGCTCCTTCAGCTTGCTGTAGCAGCTGTTCATGTCCTGGAGGAAGACGCTCATCTGCTCGTCCAGCAGCGGGATCTTGCACTTGGAGATGGTCAGGCTCTGGTCGGACAGGCAGCGCACCATGTCCTCGCCGCCGACCTTGCTCTTCAGGGCGCAGGTAGATCCGACAACCTTCATCTTGATTAATGTGGGAGGTGTAGTTTCCAAAAGAAGACGAGGGAAAAAGATTAGTCGAGCAATGAGGCTTCTCCTCCTCTTTGAGATGTTGGTAAGGCAATGTTGACAGTTTGCAACATCCACATGGGCAACCCTCCTCGGCTTTATAGGGGAGCAGGAATCGGGGGCGTGCCAGAGTCGCCCTGTTTGAAGACGGTGAGCCAATGAGACGGCTGCGTTTGTATTGATGGGTCGGTCCACAACAGCGCTCTCAGCCAATGACTGCGCTCGCCTGGTTATCGGGATTTACAATCTGTTTGAGGGATGGCGTTACAAATGGAAACAAATGTGTGTCTTTTATGGGTAATATGTGGGAATCCAGCTGTCCATAGCTTGGGGACTCTGCAGGTGTAGATTGCCTGGGGACAGTGAAGGGGTGGTGAATGCCTGGGTATGTGCTGTGAGAATGTGTGTGGGATGGGACAGGATGAATAGGATGAATGTAGGATGAATGGCTAATGATAATTAGGCTGCCACAGTGCCCTAGATTTGCCTCTCACAATTGTTGATGGCTCTGCAGATGTGGATGACAATAGTACAGTAAAGTAAGACAACGGAGTGGCTAAACAAGTGTGGGAACAGATTCGCTTTTTGTTAACTTTAATTAGTTCGGGATGATGAGGTTTGTTTAGAATGAGCTTTTTTTTTTTGGTAAGATGTGAGGAATGCAGCCATGAGATGATCCGTTTATTGGATTTATCAGATCATTAGTTTAATAACATTACTGTTGGATTGTTGGTTGTTTCAGAAAATATGCTGCGCACTCATTCCCACACTACTTCTCCCTGGACAAAATCTAAACTCAAAGCTCTCTTTATGCTCACAAACTTTGCACTTTTCTCTTTCCCCCCTGTGCTGAAGGTCGCCCAGTGTGAGCAGCAGCAGCTTC